TAGGATAGTTGCAGGAGGTTTCTTAAGGGAAAAGAAGGCAGATATCCTAATTTTGCAGGAAACTAAGCCTCAAAATTTGAAGCCTTGTGATTGGTAGACAGTGCCTATAGATAATACAACAGGGGGAATTACGCTAATTTGGAACAACAGTGTGTTTAAGCCGGTGGATAAGGAGGTAGGTTTGTTCTCAGTCTCAGTTAAGCTCCTCTGGTTGCAGTACAATTTGACAATTGTGGTTTCAGGGTTTACGAGCTTGTTGACTCATCTCTGAAATATGATTTTTGGGAGGAACTGAATGCAGTAAGAAGGAAATGGGATGGCCCTTGGGCCATTGGTGGAGATTTCAATGCAATCTTGAGGCAGGAAGAAAACAAGGGGTGCAGGAGTAAATAGGGGCATGAGATTATTTGCAGATTTTATCTAGAGGTGGGAGCTAAGCGATCTGTCATTAAGTGGAACAAAGTATACTTGGACAAATAACCAAGAGGCTCCTTCCTTGGTTAGATTAGATGAGTTCATTATCTCAACAAAATGGGATTACTTTTTTCCAAATACCACCTAGGAAGCTCTATCGAGAGTTATGTCTAATCATATTCCGCTGCAAATGGATTTTGATGGAACATTTCTGGTTTGGGACAGAGGATTTTGATGCAAACATAAAGACTTGGTGGGCAGAAGCGTCTTACGAAGGATCAGCGAGTCACATCTTAAGCAAGAAGTTACAGTGAGTAAAAGGAAATATCAAGTTGTGTCAACGAGAGAGAGTTGTAAAATATGAAAAAAGGAGGTCGGAATGCTTAAGAATTATTGTCGAGATTAATTCCGAGGAAAGTAATGTTGTTGGGTATTGGAGGTGTTTTCAGAAATGAAGAAGGGCAAGTGCTGGCTTTGTTTTCTGAATCAATTGGTGTAGGTGACTCTCTTAGGGATAAAGTATTGGCTGCTTTGGAAGGTCTAAAAAGAGCAAAAGAATTAAATATTAACAGACTAATTATTGAAGGTGACTCCAAAGTAGTTATCAGTTGGCTAGAAAAAGAAGAGATTGGGCTATGGAATTATGCAAATGAAAAAAAAGTAGTTCAAATGGTTATCCAGAGATATAGTAGTAAGATTTCAATGGGTCAAATAGAGTGTAAATTCCTTTGCAGATGCATTAACCAAACAAGGGGTGGGAAGGGTCCATTCATTCTGGGCTTGTTTGTAACTGCGTTTTCTATTATTATGCTTATCCTTGGGAAGGGTTAAGAGAGTTTGCCCCTTCCCTCGGAGGCTGTAATTGTTGTAATTTGTCTCATTAATAAAATTTCTGTTACTGATCAAAAAAAAAAAAAAGAAAGAAAGAAAGAAAGCAATGTTGTTGGGGAAGCAAAGATCCAGGGCTTTATGGTTGAAGTCAGGTTATAACAATACACCCTTTCTTCACAAGTTCGTGAGTGCGAGAAGAAGGAACAATGACATTAAAAGGTTACAAGTCGTATAGTCTTTAGTAGAGCAGGAAAAGTAGATTGAGAAGGCCATTGTGAAGTATTAGGAGCAGCTTTATAATGAACCTTTAAGGTTAGACCAGCTCTGAATGGGCTATACTTTGAAACATTGTCTGAACAATAGGCAACTGAGTTGAAAAAGCCCTTCTCTGAGGAGGAGGAGGTAAATAGAGCTTTAGATGAGTTGGAGGGGGACAAAGCCCCATGTCCTGACAGTTTTACTATTCTCTTCTATAAAAATTATTGGGACATCATAAAGCATGACCTTTTGAGAGCTCTAGAGGAGTTTCATAGTTTTGTAGCCTCGAAAGAAGCCTGAATGCTTCTTTTATTTCTTTAAGGGAAAATTGTTGAAACCTCCCCTGAAGTTTCTGACCATTGCTAAAACCTTCCCTTAAGTTTGGTAATTGCAATCACCTCCCTTGAACTTTCTGACGCAGTTGCAAGTAGACCCCCTTTGTTACAATCTGCTAACAAGAGACATGAACATGTCCAAAATACCCATGGAATTACTATTGAGGTTGATTTCTATAGAAAAACAACAACAATAAAAAAAAAAGAAAATTTAAAGTTGTAGCTTTACCTTCGAGCGATTGATATGAAGGGAAAATTTGGAAAGTTAATCAATTTCAGAAAAGGGATTGGAAGGGTTTGAGCTAGTGATTCATATGAAGAGAATATTCAAAAAATAAACATTTTGGTGAGAAGTAACTGTATGGGTATTTTAGACATTTTCATGCTTCTTTTTAGAGGGTTTTAACAAAAGGGGGTCTATTTGCAACTGTCACAAAGTTCAGGGGAGGTAATTGCAATTATCAAACTTCAGGAGAGGTTTTAGCAACAACCAGGAACTTTAGGGGAGGTTTCAGCAATTTACCCTTTCTTTAATCCCAAAGAAGAATGGAGTTATGGAATTGAAGGACTTTCAGCCAATCAATTTAATTGGAAGAGTCTATAAAATTCTGGCTTCAAGGTTAAGGTATGTGCTAGACTCTCTCATCTCCATCTATCAGGAGGCTTTTGTGCATAACAAGCACATTCATGACAGAGCATTAAAGCCAATGAATTAATCGATTCAAGGAGAAGTGGCAAGAAGGGTTTGGTGTGCAAAATAGACCTAGAGAAGGCCTACAATCATGTCAACTAGGATTTTCTAGACAAAATGTTAGCTAGAATGCGCTTTGGCACCAATTGAAGAAATTGGATGAAGGTTTGTGCAACCACACCTAGGTTCTCTATCTTAATTAATGGAGCTACACGTGGGAATTTCAAAAGCTCAAGAGGACTAAGACAAGCGGATCCATTGTCACCGCTGCTCTTTCTTGTTGTCATGGAGGGTTTGGGCATAATGGTACCCTGGACTGCTGAAGCAAGTTGTATTGAAGGCTTCAAAGTTAGGAACAATGGCTCAGAAATTGTTCTCCTTTGGTTTGCAGATGACACGTTTTTCTGCAATGCCTCTTTGGATCAGGTGACCAATTTAAAATACATATTGTTTTAGTTTGAGGTGGTGTCAGGCTTAAAAGTTAAAAGTGAGTCTAGCCAAAAGTGAGATAATGGCTGTTGGAGTCTTGGAGAGGTAGAGAGTGTGGATGATCTATTGGGGTGTAAAGCTGGATGTCACCCTTCAAAACACTAGGGTTTGCCTCTAGGGGCCAAGTGCACCTCGAAAGCTACTTGGAGTCCAGTTTTAGAGAAGGTGGACTCGAAGTTAGCCTCTTGGAAAGTCCGGTATCTATCTAAGGGTGGAAAAGTAACTCTAATTAAAAGTGTGTTAGCTAGCCTCCCAGCTTCATACATGTCTATCTTCCCAATTCTGGCTAAGATGGCAGATCAGATTGAAAGAAGAATGAGAGATTTCCTCTGGAATGGCTGGAAGGACTCTTCAAAATATCATTTGGTGAGTTGGGATCAGGTCTGCAAACCTGTGTCTAAGAATGGAGGTCTGCATTTAAGGAGGGTCAAACTTTTCAACAACACACTTTTGGGCAGATGGTTTTGGAGATTTGCTACAGAACCAAACAATCCTTGGAGAAAGGTTACAACTGAAAAGTGAAAAGTATGGTCTTTGTAGCAATGGCTGGGATGCAGAAACTCCCCTTTCTCCTATGGGTGTAGTGGGTGGAAGGGCATATCAAGAGTTTACAGCAGTTTCTGTGAAGGGTTGTTCTTCAAGGTGGGTGATGGGAGGAAGGTGAGATTTTGGCTGGATGTTTGGTGTGGTAACTTGGCACTAAAAGACAGATTTCCTTCCTTGTTTAATATGGTGGAAAATAAACTGGCATGGGTGGCAGATTCCTATGAGGCAAATGGTAATTCAATTAGCTGGAGTCCTTCGTTTAGGAGAAGCTTCAACATTGAGAGGTTGATCAGATAGCTGACCTTCTGGCTCTTCAGAACCAATATCTGGACCTTCAGACTCAAGACTCTAGATGTTGGAAGTGGGCTTCAACCAGGGTCTTCTCAGTCAAATCCTTTTACAAGGGCCTGGTAGGAGTTCCAAGGGCCCCTTTTCCTAGCAAGGTCATTTGGGATTCTGCTGCACCTTCCAAAGTGAAGCTCTTCACTTGGGTGGTAGCCCTTGAGAAATGTTTGACCAAGGAAATGCTAATGAGAAAGGGGTACACTGTAAAAGATTGACTGTGTGTACTTTGCAATAGAGAGGAAGAGACAGTTCGACATTTATTTGTGCACTGTAGTTTCAGTTCAGCTGTGTGGAGTGACTTCATAAGGGCTATCAATCTGCACTGGCGCTGTCCCTACTCATTTAAGGATCTGCTGCAAAAATGGGGCATTCCGGGCATGTCAAGAAAAGGGAAAGTTTATTGGTCAGCAATTCCGTTGGCTGTTTTGTGGGCCATTTGGTCTGAAAGAAATCTGAGAATTTTCGAACAAATGCATCAACAGAATCAGGGGTGATAAATAGAAGCTGGTTATCCATTAAAAATGATACTTTATCCTCTTCTTTTTTGAGGATGGATTTTTGTTTTTTTTTTTTTTTTTTTTTTTGGGGGGGGGGGGGGGGGGTAAGGTGATATACTGGTACATATTCTCATGTACAGTTTTCTTTTGTTTTAATGAATATATACTTTACCTTTTCAAAACAAGAAATTATTAGTACAGAGGATCGAGATCCTCAAGACATTCATCCTATAAACACATAACGAATATGAAATATCCAATGGAGAATGAAGCGAGAAGTTCAGAAAGCTAATCAAAGAACTAATTAAGCAGCTTAAATTTTCACGTAAAATGCATCATAACTTACAACTAGGGACCAATAGAAATTTAAAGAACATAAACAAACACTAAGAGATACTAATAGTACTCTTTCTAAAAAGATAAGATACTAATAGTACTATCTCTGGAAACAATTTACAGAACCTACCATCCATCAACAACCAGCAAAAGCAAATAATAGCAACAGAAAACAATTAAAATGGAACCCATGCTACAAAACCCTCGACTCAAAACCGCAACCAAATAGGGGTGGGTATAATTTATAATGGCGGTTACCAGTGAAGGGCTTACGCTTCACGCTGGGGTCAAGTTGATTACACCATCGGAGCCGACAAGACTTGCCAGACCGCCCCGCGATACCTCGGGCGATGAGGCTCCAATTCCTGGCGCCAAACTTGCTCACTAGTCTACTCAAAATAGCGTCTTCTTCAGGAGACCAAGGCCCTTTAACTCGATCCTCTGAACCTCTCCCGACTCGGCTGCTGCTCCCGCTTCCATCTCCGACTACCACTCCAATGCCGCTCCCTCTTTCAGCATCGTCACCTCCACTACCTACAGCACCACTATCGCTACCAGCACCATCACCACCAGTACAAACGTCGCCGGCGACTACTATCTCCTCCTCCATCTCTATTCTCTGTCTTCTCTCTCTCTCTCTCTAACACCTACCTGCCTAACCGCAATTGTTCTTGAAGACAGCTGCATTATTTTATAGGGCAAGTGTTGCGGGATCCCTTTGCCAGTTTTAAGAAGTATTTTTTTCCAGAATGACCGTTGTGTCCTCTCTGAAATGACACTTTTGTCTTCAAGGCCGGTTTATTTTGTTGGTTATCTAAAAATTTCACTCCGACTTCTAGAGAGAAGCCCAGAAAGAAAATGGAGGTCTGTAAGTAACCCAAGTTATTTTCTCGGAAAGGAAATTCTAGATTCGGTTTTGGTGCCTTTTAGTTAGAGCATGAAAAGTACTTTGAAAGCTTGAATAAAGGTAACAACACCACACTCTTGCTTGCCATAATTTATTTTGATTCAGAGTATAAGTTTATCAAAGTAAACTTTTCTTCTTCTCCATCGAGACCACCCGACATAAAACAAGTCATCCATTTCTTCTCTTCCTCTCCATCAACCACTGGACAATAGATATTTGGAATCTTTGGCCCCGGTATTGATGATATGTATAAAGATGTTTCACGACTAAGACATTGTCCATGTCATCCCATGTTGAGCTATAGAGCACAATTTTCTCAGAAAAATATTGAGTTTAGCATTGTTCTATATCACAGTTTCCCGATTTTCAAGATGTGGTTTACAACGATTATTTTTCTGAAAAAGATGGTACCAAACATCGCCTTTATCTCAATTTAGTAATAGGGAATCTAATTAACTTTGAACACCTAAGACAGTTTTGAGCTTAATATTTGAATCAATAGTTTAATGAGTTGGGGTTACAAGGCAAAATTGGGTATAGTGATTAATATGAGCTTAACATATATTTTGGCCTTTTCATCTATGTTTATTAACTCTTGGCTCCCTACTAAAAAAATCCTGACTCCATCCCTGTCTGAGGTGAAGTGGATTTGGTGAAATCTTTTGTGTTAGAGACTTAGAGTTGGGCCTTTGGTTGCATTCACAGGGGGGTCTGACTCTTGTGTTTCCTCAACCAAGGGAAGATAGAAAATGAAGGATAAAGAGGATGCAAAATCATGGAAGTGTAAATTTATTTTGTTCTGATTGCATTACAAATGAAGTAAAAATAGACGAAGTAGAATAAAGTAAAACTCAAAATAAAATTAAATCAGAATTTGCATTGTTTTTATTTGTACTCTCAAACATTTATACTAATGCAAATTGCACTGCACCCAAACACAGCCTTGCTAATATATTTTGCAGCCTAATCTTTTTACAATCAGCTTATGCTATTTCAATCAACAAATGGATGAAAATGGCTACTCTAGTTGGCTGCATACGGTTTTGATAGAAAATAAGTTGAGAGAAAATTCTTAACTACAATTTTTGTGAAACTCTGTTTGGAATTCCCCTTTAACTTTCTGATTCATTTTTTATTTTTATTTGTTATCAAATCACACACAGATTTTTGAACAAATGAATTCGAGTTCGGCCAGTTGGAGATATTTTGAATTCAGATCAACTTAACATGCGAGCTGTTCCACCAAGCTGTGAAATCCATGATAATGTCTCATATTAATGATAAAATACAGGAAGACCTACACACCAAAAATGAAACAATTGTGGGTCCATGTATCTTAACGCTAATTCTTAATCCGATATTTTTGGGTGTGCTATGTGGTTCGTGTTTTTAATTTCTTCATTTTCATTGTCGTACAGGGGAAGAAAATTCGAAGCAAGAGGCTATTTCGGTAATTTGGTCATTACTGGAACTTAACTGCTTTCCATCCCGGACGGAATTGCCCTTTGCCCTTCACAAAAAGAATATTTATAACCAACTGCTTTAATGATTGACTGTACAGAAACGCGTGTCAACGAAGAAGACTCGGAGTCGAAGAGATTCTGAACTTGGCGGGAGACCACCCCGCCGATAGCGGGGTCATCGTCGTCTTTCCAATTTAGGCCGAACCGTCAAATGGAAAGTGATTTGGTATAATACCATTCAATCAAACTGAGATAGACATCGTAAGAAGCTTCCACACTCCTATTCTACCATCTACTCCTTTAGATGAAAGATAATGTTAAATGAGATCACATGCAGATGTTACGAATACACGGATGAGAGGTGCTGTGGGGCGCTTGTGACGGATCTGATCTCATGTTAAATGAGATTGGAACGAATCGGAATCTGCAATGCTCCTCACAGAACACATTTTTCCATAAAAACAACATAAAGTATTGAGGATGTTATGCATGTAGGGGTGTAAACGGGTGTTTTATTCGTACCGAATAATTAATCGGATTCGAATTCGGATATTCGATTCAATAAATATCTGAATTCAATCAATTATATAATTTATATATAATAATTATATTATATAAATAATTTATATATTTATGTATTTTATATCAATGAAATATTTATTTTATATATTTATTAATTATTCAAAATAATTAATTAATCGAATTTAAATCGAATCAAATATTCAAATATTTAATCGGATTCAAATTTGTATATTAATTTTCAATATCTGTTGGATATTAAATCGAATTCGGATATTGGATCCAGATTTGGATATTACCTGATCCGGTTCACATTCGATCTGTTTACTCCATGTGCGGCTGGTATGTCTAGTAAAATTGGTGTGAAAAATGATTTATTTCTTATAGTAAGTCACATCTGTCTCTCGTACAATGTCTCAAAAACATCCCACAGCACATCTCATACATGTATTGTAAACATCTCCCAATAACAAGTACGGGAGACGTTCTCAATGCATGCTGAAATGTGCATGTAAACATCTCATACATGTATTGTATGCATATGAGATGTTCTCAATGCATGCTGAAATTAAATATTAAATCTAATGATATTTTACTATTTTACCATTAGGTTTGCTGGCTCGAAAAATTATATGCAAATCCTGACCTTGCCCCATCCCCAATTTAAGATAAAAATATTTTCCCAATCCCCACCCTTCCCATTTTAAATCAATAAAACTAGGGGTATAAATGGATAGAATTTGAATCAAATTAGACAATATCCGAATTCGAATCTGATTAGAAAATTTGATCTCTAAAGTCTGAATTCGATTCAATATCCGACGGATATTGAAAAATTCATATTCAAATTCGAATTTGATTAAATATCTGAATATTCAATTCGATTTGAATTTGACCAATTAATTATTTAGGTAATTAATAAATACATGAAATAAATATTTTATTTATATACAATATATAAATACATAAATTATTTGTAGAATTTAATATTATATATATAAATTATATAAAACACTTAAATATTATATATAATAATTAAATAATCAATCGAATTTGGATATTTATCAAATTGAACCAGGCCATATCTGAATTTGAACCCAATTAGGTAATTGGTATGAATAGGATATCCATAATTCAACCAATTACATATTTGAATTATACAAATTTGGTTATATCAAATCGAATTTTCAAATACCGTTAACACCCCTAAATAAACCCCCTTCCATTGGTGAGGCAGGCCTCGGTTTTACGAGAAAAATTCACATTCCTATAAAAAGATTGTTAAATTCTAGTAATACTCTAAAGTCCATTACTGCTTTTTTTCTATCATCTAGGCAGAATCAAGTTATTTGACCCAAATATGGGTTCATTCCGTTGAATCTCAAACGTTTCAAGTGATAGTATTGTGTTGGGCCAAAAGGTATTTAATAAGGCTACAACTTGGGCCGGGTTGGCCCGAACTCAACCCGAAAAAGTTGGATTGGGTTGGGCCGAGTTGATGTTTGGGTTAGGGTTAGGGTTGAAATTGATGAACCCGACTTAACTTCGGGTTGGGTTAGGGTCGACCCCTTAGCCAACCCAACCCAACCCAAACCCAACTCTATAGTGCATGTCATATATAAATATATGTTATATGTAATATATAACATACACTGATTTGTTTAGATGCATGATATATGTATAGCCCCCACCACATAGTATCATGTATTTCTTTTAAGATAATCACTTCACTTAATCCTAATCAGAAAGACTAAAATCTTAATAACATTATTTTATGTTTTTTGAAAAATTTATTCTTCATCTCCTTTATGTTGCTTGTCGCCCAAGAAAGATCTATGGTAAGTCATAACTCATAATAAATAGTAATGAAACATAGGATTAATATATAGTAAAACTTGAGTTAAGATCTAAAATCGAAAATTTCTATGAGATTCTAAAGGATGGGAATAAAGTTGGATTGGGCTCGGGTTGAACCCAACCCAACTCAAAATTAAGGTTGGGATTTAAAACTTAGGGTTGGCCTCAACCCGACTTACAACCGTAGTATTTAATCCACTATAAACACAGTGGAGGGAATCCTAAACCTCTAGCCCACATAAAGGTCACGTCAGTTCTACTCTCCGCACTTTTTTTGGATCAAATTCTTTGTAATTAATTAGGAGCTTGTCTACCAGGAGGTGCCTTAAAGAGAAATTTAATTTTTGGTTGTATATTCAACCTCTCAATATATTTCTTTAATTTGATAGTCCCTTTGTGCTGTAGCATGGAGCCAAGTTGCTGAGTTTGTCGTGAATTGTCCATTTGGGCCGGCTGAGCCCCATTGAATACAGAGGGACGTATATGAGTATATCCGCTTTATTAATGGAATCATTAAGACTATATTTAGTTTGAAGGAAAATGGTAAGGAAAGAAAAGAAAAGGTAAGAAAACCTTTACAAACCTCATATTAGTTTTCACTGCTTTTCTTACATTTTTCTTTCAAACCAAATATAGCCTACTGAAATTATCCACTGTATTTCCTCTAAATTTCATAATCTATCAGTTTGATGAATAAACTGAACCTTGTAGAGCTGAAGTTGAGATGATGGTAGCCGTCTTGACCGTTTTTCTCAATTAAAGGCCGATCACCGCTCCAATTGTTCATCCAGAATCAGATATATTTTCCATTGCCCAATCACCATTCCAATCCTATTTTTATTAAGTATCTGCTCTTTGTGATACCACCAAAAGAGACCCATGCGACATACGGGCAGGTTTTAAAAACATGTCCATATGAGGAATTTGATATTAGATAAGCCAAAGTCATTCTTATTTCTGGTTTAACTTCAAACAAATCTTTAATTTTTTTTAAAGAAATAGTTATCTTTAACTACCTTGACCCATGGATTACTTTCAACTGAAGGCCCAGCCCAGCCCAGAACCCAAAAATCCAAGATAATTCATGTAAAAGTTCAAGTTGGGCCATTACTAGTCAATCCATTCACTTTACATATTTGTATTTGTACTATTTTCAAATTAAGCCTAAGGTCTAAATTGTTTGTCATATAATTTTATTTGTACGAAACCTTGTATTTTTTATTATTTTGTATGTATTTGTACAATACATATTTGTATTTATACTCTTTCCAAACTGAGCCTAAGGTCTAATTTGTTTTTCATATAATTTCATTTGTATGGATGCAGTTTAGAACTATAAACAAGTTAAATGCAAATTCTGATTTATTTTTGTTTTAAAATTCTACATTGTTTTTAAGTCGAAGGAGGGAAGACTACTTGGTACACACACTATCTCTCTCTCTCTCTTCATATACATAGGGATAAAATAAAGGAAAGAAATAAAAACAAAATATGGAATGAGAAATGGGAAGAATACAAAAGAATTTCACTTAAAAAATATGGAAAACTAAAGAAGTGACAAAATGAGAGAAAATAAGATGATTTGGCACTTGCAAAGAAGAGCATGTAAGGAAAAGCGATTAATTACAAGTTGATAAATTAGAAAGACTAGAAGCAAACCAAAGGGGACATGGGAGATTGTAGCATGCATCTTGGACGAATGTTTTGAATTGTGCAGATCTTATGAATGTAACTTATAATCACCTTTGAGCACGTATTTGAAGAAGAAGCCAACCATGCAGCTGACTGATTAGAAAATTTGAGCCACACAATCTAATTCAATGAATGTATTATCATCATCATTATTTTTCCCTCTTCCGCTTTAGTCTGTGACAATTGTTCCATGAAATATGTAAATTAGAGGAAAGTGGGCTTAGCACATCCCCAATGATCCATGAGAGACTGATATAATAAGACGAAAACCAAGCGAAATCAGAATGAAACAAGCAAATTGTTGACTTAAATTGGTTACCGATATATCCAGGTATATATATTGAGACATCTGTCACAGACTAAATATCTCTATAGCGTATACAGAAATTATTCCTAAAAATTGTTTAAATGAGATCAGGAATGCTTGTTTGACTTTGCCTGGGCGGGAACAATGCTCCCCCAACTTGCAACTGAATTAGCTAATATTGCTTAAGCCCATATATTATATATCTTTCCATATCATTTTTACACATTCCACTACAAGTTTGGAATAAAGGAAAATGTCTAAACTCTACACCAACTCTCGCCTACATATAGCAAGCTTGCTAATTTAATTTGCTTTCTAAATTACTACCCTTTTAGCAATATAATCACGATATATATATATATATATATATATATATATATATATATATATATATATATATAATAACCTAAGGGAGAGACCAATAAAACTTTTATTTTTTTAACATATGTCCAATTCCGATTCACTTGGGCCTTAATCATGAATTTTTATTATACAAATATGTATTTAATTAGCTAGAAGTCTAGAACATTAAATATATACAATCCTTATGATAATTAATCAGTGTTTACCTCCCTCCCGAAGGAGTTGACAAAATAATAATAATAAAATTAATTGATGAACATAAAAACGAAAAAGAAAGAAGAAATTGTAGGTGAGCTAATTTTAGAGAGTTTACATCCCAATATTGCTGACTGCAGAGTCAATTAAGACTAGATGTTATTCTGCACCTGGCACCTTGGCCTCCCAAATATTATTTGTAACGAAAGATCACCATGACCAGATTATCAATCTTTTCTAGAAGACTACAACCTCTCAATTTTAATAGTTCTTCTCTAATTTAACAAGTTAAGGTTTGACACAAAAATTATCAAATCTTGCAAATGTTATGCATGCATATCAGTTTCCACCTACCCGTGTTATATATATAATATATAATATATATTAGTTTGGAGCTTCACTTCAATAAGACCAATCCCAAGTTTCCAGTGGGTTATGTTGACAAATTAAATAGCTAGCTTACGTTGTGCAATATTCAGAACCCCAACCACTCACCTAAACTAACGACTTCATAGCTCCTTGTTTTCCAAATCGTAATCACCAGTCTTAAGGAATAAATATCAAGTTTCCATACCTGCCCTTTTCAGGGGGTTATGCTGACAGCTCGGATCCACGTTCAGACTTCTCCGTGTGGCAAAATTCATGAATTTGGCGTGCGTTGCATGTTAGTTGATTCACCTCCAATCTCCAAGTCCAACCCGGCCCAAACCTATCCCGACCCGCTACCATTTCCAATAATCCACGATACCATCCTGATCCTTTATTTATTTTTTGGGAAGAAATACCATCCTGGTCCTGAGCTAAACTAAAGTGCTTGGTAGAGACAAATTTTGAATCCCATAAAAATATGCAAATAATATAAATCAAACGATCTGGTCGGATGATCTGGTCCCCTCAATAAGTCAATAATACAATATTGCAGGAGGTAAACTTTAGTGACGGCCTTGTCGTTTGTCATTTAATTATCCATGATGGGCTGGGCTGGAAGCAGAACAAAGTCATATTTGATAATTTGACCATGCTCCGTACGTGTCTAGATATCTTTAAGCCCAAGGCAATTAAGGGCAAAACAATTAATTAGCTGACTAATTCAACTATCTCTAATGCATACATTATCCAACAGGAACACCAATTACTGCCAAAACAACAGGAAAACCACGCACACAAAAAAGAAACGCGGCTGAAGTCACCCACGGCCCACGGCCCACCAACTAATTGCCTCGAACATAACAAAATAGCTCTTTCAATAATTAATTAACAAATAGACAGATAACTCAAATTTCCATGGTTAAAGCATATAACTGCATAAGTGAAGGGAAGGGAAGTCTCAGAAAGTTCAACTATATATATGTACAGTATACGTCCAAGAATCAGCAATTTTATTTGATATATATTGAGCTAGCTTATTCAAATTTTATTATGTACAAAATTAAAATTAAAGCAAATTAATTAATTAATATACCATCATATGCGTATTAGTTCTCATTTATTATTATTATTATTATTATTATTATTTTGTTAATAGTGATGTAAGGGCGGTTAGCTGGGTAGAACTGGTCCGACGGAATTAGTGAGAGGGTGAGTGTATATGACTTAATAATTAGGCCCATTGGCACATCATGGAAAGCAAACACATGGACATGGTTAATTAATTATTAGGGATCATCGAGACAAAAGTAAACACATGGACATGGTTAATTAATTATTTTTTATTTCTGAATCAAATACATCGTCCTATATATTAAATTAAACAATCAATTCATCTATCACATTCTCTCTCCTAGAATAAAGTTAATGAGAAAACCCATGATTGCATAGATGCATGTTTTATGGGTGGGTTCCAACTTCCAATGACAAAGACATGCACGAACCCGGCCGTGAGCCGTGACGTACATATTTATGTAAGTGCATTGTCTTCTCGCTCGCATCAAGTAGCCCGCGGATGGGGTTGATCAAGACCCATGGGAATTGGGAAACCATGAGCCTTGGTGATAAAATGCCCAAGCACTGTTATATATTTAGGTTGCTTACTAGCTACAACTGTTATCCATCCTTCCCTTACCTGCTACAGAATGATTTTGAACTAATTCTACTTACCTACTTATTAACGATGAAAGTCGTGCTTTTTGACAAGGGAATTTGGAATATAATATTTGAGTCAGAATTTCGTATTTCCTAACCGGTTTTGTTTAGATTTCTAAGACTTGGGCAGTTAGGTAAACAAAAGATTAAATTAGACTGGCTTCAATTCTTTTGGTGACCATTTAGATTTAAGTTATGCCAACACGAAATCAGGTGGAAGGCTAGACTTGGTCTTTGTCTCTTCTGATCGAGGCTTCAATAAACACAAGGCAAACATATATAGGAGGACAACTCAATTAAAAGAAGAAGCTCAAGCCTCAAGTAACCTTCATCTTCACACCTCTTTCAATACTTCAAATTAATAACTTGGGCAGTTAAATAACGAAGGTTTGGTTACTTTACAGCCTTCTGGAGACTATTTGGGTTTAATTAATTAAATTATTCAGACACGCAACCATGAAAGGCTGAGGATTGCATGGTCTATGAAGATTCAACAAAAAAACTATAAAAGAATAAGGACATCCTCTTACGTTGAACATTACATTTTTCCCTTCCATCTTTCATTCAACATGTCGCGTCGACCGTTGCTCTTGCCTGCAACTGCAGCCTGCGTTCTGGCTCTCTTTGCTTGTGTGGCCTATGCCGAAGTCGTCGAGCATACCTTCCATGTAATCTTCTTCTTCTTCTTCTTCTTCTTCTTCTTCTTCTTCTTTTCGTTCAGATTTTGTCTCTGGATTTTGAGTTTTGCTTTTCACATTTGAATAACATAGCTTCTTCCTATTATATTAACTGGACTTCTTCCCTTTTACCGGTCGAAATGGATGGAGATGAATGGTGATTTTACTTGCCTTCCGGGTCCAGTGATTCTGCATGCAAAGCCTACTGGCTTTAATTATTGCAGTTAGGATGGATGCTTATCAAGTAAACGGCACCACTCCTATGTGGCTATGCCATATATTCACATGGCCAATATAAGATAAAGTATTTCCTTCTAGGTGTAATCCCAGATAGGAAAAGACTTTCAGTGATGAAATCTTGTTTTTTCACCAATCAGCAAGTGGGACGCACTCTGGAAATATGAGGGTTTAAACGCTTTTTTTTTTTATATATTTTCTTTTTTATGCTGCAAATATAGGGCGGCCACATGCCACCTTAGACATGATAGCAATATATAGAAACGTATTAATGACTGATCTCTGTAATTAATTGTAATGCATCTATCAGGTGGGGAACCAGACCATCAATCGACTGTGCCGGAACCAGATGATAACTGCAGTAAACGGAAGTCTCCCGGGTCCGACCATAAAGGTCCGGGAGGGCGATACCCTCATTGTTCATGTCTTCAACAAATCGCCTTACAACCTCACCATTCACTGGTAAATATAATTCCCTAATCTCCGGCTAGCTAGCAACTGTAGTTGAAATTAATTTATTGCTACAGACGACTACTTTATTGACCTTTTTTTTCTTTCTTTTCTTTTCTTAAATTATAAAAGATACTTTATTGATTTGTTTGCTCACATGGCAAATCCTGATGCTTAATTTTTCAAACCAAATTCTATTAGAGTTTTCGTTTAATATATATAAACTGACTCAAAACAACCCAGAAGCATGTACAACCGCTCAAACCAAATTCAGTGAAAGAAATATTGTTTTTAACACTTGATTAATTAATATTGTTTAATTATGTTAATCTTATGGCGTACGACGTTGATGATGGGGATGCAGGCATGGGGTGTTTCAGCTACTGAGCGGCTGGGCCGACGGGCCGGTTTACGTAACACAGTGCCCGATTCTTCCAGGGAATAGCTACACTTACAGATTCAACATTACGGGACAAGAGGGAACTCTTTGGTGGCATGCTCATGTCTCCTGGCTTCGTGCCACCGTCTATGGTGCTCTCATCATCCGCCCCAGACCCGGTCGAACCTACCCTTTTCCAAAACCCTATCGGGAGGTCCCTATCCTATTAGGTAATACCCTATATACATCTTTTGTTGACTTAACTCGACCCGTTTCCGTTTTCACCTGTCTATGTATCGCTTTCGGATTAGATGACCTAAATGCCCTTCTCAWGGTTGACCGCTGCAGGTGAGTGGTGGAACGCTAACGTCGTCGACGTCGAGAACGAGGCCCTAGCTACMGGTGCTGCTCCCAATAACTCCGACGCTTATACCATCAACGGCAGGCCCGGTGATCTCTATCCATGCTCTCGAAATGGTAATTAACTAAAAAGCAATAACCGTGCTTTGTTCTCGAAAATCGAAATGGTTTGTCTTATTAGTCACCTCCGTTTTCTTGTTTCTGGGTTTCGTCTAACGTGCTTTCTCTACTCCTCCTCCACTATCTGCGCGCAGGTACCTATAAGCTGACAGTGGTGCAGGGGAAGACCTATCTCCTCCGCATAATCAACGCTGCACTCAAYAACCARCTTTTCTTCAAGATCGCACGTCACAATTTTACGGTGGTCGCCGTGGACGCCAGCTACACCGAGCCGTACAAGRCCGATGTGGTGGTGRTCTCCCCCGGCCAGACAACCGACGTCCTCCTCACGGCCGACCGACCTCTGGGGGATTACTACATGGCAGCTCACGCGTATGCGAGTGCTGCCGGGGTTCCGTTCGATAACACGACGACGACAGRGATCGTTCACTACAAGGACTCCACGTCAGCATCTCCGGAGATGCCGGTGCTCCCTGCGTTCAACGACACACCGACGGCCCACAAGTTCTACAGCAACCTTACAAGCCTTACGAGGAAGGCAATGCCGGACGTGGACGAGAGGATGTTTATAACCGTTGGATTAGGTCTGACGGCATGCGATAGGAATACCACATGTGGGGGCCCCTCTGGATTGAAACTGKCTGCGAGCATGAACAACCAGTCCTTCCAATTGCCATCAAGACTATCTCTGCTGCAGGCATTCTTTTCGGGGGTGAGTGGTATCTACACCGAGGATTTCCCCGACAACCCTCCGGTGGTGTTCGATTACACCAATCCCAACAACAGTTTCAATGCGTCGCTCTACTTGACGGAGAAGAGCACACGTGTGAAGAAATTAAGATATAATTCAACGGTGGAGGTAGTGTTTCAGAACACGGCCATCGTTGGGGTGGAGAACCACCCGATCCACCTTCACGGTTTCAATTTCTTCGTATTGGCACAAGGATTTGGGAACTACGACGCARCCAGGGATACCAACAACTTCAATTTGGTAAATCCACAAGAGCGTAACACCATCGCCGTGCCGGTCGGAGGCTGGGYCGTCATCAGGTTCACGGCTAACAATCCAGGTAAACTTACTAGCATGCCCTTCCAAAATTCTTTTGGCATTGCAATGAGAATGGCCCGCTAGGCTCTTAGCTATTAGGAGGGTAGATGCGTCATTAACTATTATAAACGGCGAACGCTGTTTAATTTGTAAAATGGAATTAATGCAACAGGTGTATGGATCATGCATTGCCACCTGGATGTCCACTTGCCGTGGGGCCTAGCCGGAGCTTTCGTGGTAGACAGTGGACCCACTCCTTCGTCCAAGCTTCCTCCGCCACCTTCCGATCTTCCTCGATGTTAAGAGGACTATGCTTTTGACTAGCTTTTTTTTTTTTTTTTCATGCTTTCATTTTCTTGATATGTTTTTGCTTTTCCCAATTTCTTTATTTATGACCAATTGATCATGTGCTAGAGATTGATAAAGACTGAAGACTTTAATTTGAATATGATTGTTTACTCGGTTCTTTATGAAAGGGAACCAACAAAGAATAAACATACATGTAATTTCGTTTGTGTAGTATTTGTTATTGCCCAAACATGCTATTATTTATTTTATTTTATGTTTTCAGTAAGTAGGAGTAGTTAGGAGTAGGACTTTGTTGAGGGTAACGTGATTCATTTGAATTTAAAGAGTGGCGACCAATTTTTCAGAAAATAAGTAAATTTGAGTGATAAGGTAGGCAGACCCTGGGCCGGGGTTAGTGAAATGAAAATGAAAGATTACCGGCCCGCCCCGGTCGGTGGTTTATTAGAAGCTATGTTAAGTAAATGTACACGTACAGATATGTTTCAGAAGCAGGATTGCATATGGACATGCTTGGCCAAATTGGTAAACGGTAGAGGTCATAAGAAATTAAATTTGATTGGTTCGCGAGAGCCAACGTGGGAAACACGTACTTGAGGAAAATTTCCATGACCACGTAGTACTCACGCGTCAAGTCTAGGATTTGTTTGGATTTAAAACTATGTATTGGACAAGTAAAGTGAGAAAGAAAAATTGTGTGAAATATCACGGTGGAATCAGCCAATCACGGGTGGGGCAGAGTAGGAAATCTGGGCTATCCACTCTCTATTCGAGATTTTCTACTCATTTTTCCTATCCACTCTCTACCCGCCGTTAAAGTGAGGAGGAAATTTGGGCTCTTGTTCCGTGGATTAGATACTGCACCTCCTAATCTGTATCTATATATCTCCATACTAATTATAAAATTGTAAATAGGGTCTCGTTTCTGGAATATTTATTGAACATAAATTACCCCTAAATCATTGAACTTTTTGGGGACAAATGTGTATTTTGATAAAACACCATATTTAAGACATTTAGTATTGTAATTCTTTGGAATTTTCATTCGACATAAATTATCCTTTAATCATTGAAATTCTTAGGGACAAATGTGTACTTTGTTAAAACAGCATAATTAAGACATTTAATATTATAATAGTCATTATTGAACCATAGAAGCCATTTATGTGGATATATGCCACCTCATCTTTTCATTAAAATTAGGCTAAGAAAAAAGAAAACTATCCTTACCTTCACATATTCCATTGTAAATGTAAATTCTCCTCCCATTCAAAGGGAACAAAATTTACAAACAGAAAAATTAATTATAAATATATAACAATAAATAATAATCAAAGGAACCAAATCTAAATCTGATAAGTTATGTATAAATATGAAAAAAATATAGAAAATATAAAATACTATCATTATCATAAAAAATTGTCACGTTCAAGCACGTGCACACTTACTAGTATATATTAAAAGGCAATGTGCCAAGACGACACTTTCTTGCTTCCTGGTTTCTTCCTAAAGGCATTTATCTTTTTTTTTTATTTTTTTTTTGAATTTTATAATTTTAAAATTGAACAAAATTATTCAAGTGGCTGATCACCTTTAAGGCTTTTAAAACTCCTCATTAATACATCATTAACTCCCCCCTCTCTCTTTTCTTTTCCATTAACTCTTTTAATAATCTCTCCCCATTAATTATGCTATTAATTCTCTCCTTCAATAACTCATGCCATTGATATTCATTGGGCAAATTTCTTAAACTACCCCTATTACTTAGTTAATTTACTAATTATACCCTTACTATTTATCTATTGTCTTGCATCGCCCCTATTGTTTTTGACAATTGACTAACTCTACTCCTACTGTTAGCATCTGTTAATGTTTCGGCAAACTCCATACACACTTGATACCACATGATGTATAAAATTTTTTAAAAATCCATTAATATATATATATATATATAGATAAATAGATAGATAGATAGAGAGAGAGAGAGAGAGAGAGAGAGAGAGAGAGAGAACAAGGGATAAAGGTACCCACTTGACGGTGGTGGGATTATTGGGACCCCATCTAGGCATAATCTTTATTTTGCGGCATTGAATCCTTGTAGGTGATTTGGTGGAGGAAAAAATTCTGCTGTTGTGAGTTGTAGCAACGGGTGGAGTAGAGGAGGGCAAACTGATCGAGGAAGAAGAAGGAAAAGAAGACAAAAATAAGGAGAAGAATAGAGAGAGAGAGAGAGAGAGAGAGAGAGAAGACTGATCTTACTGATTGGCTTCGGTTGGGCCGGTTCCACCAACAACATAGCGGCACCACCTACAAGGGGTTAGGGCGCATGAGATGGGTCTTTGGTTCGGTGGAGATCAATACTTAATGTGGCGAGTTTGAGGAAATATGGACATGATTTAACATAAGGGTAAAATTGGCATTTCATCCTTTTTGTTAAAATTTAACGATGATGACAATTGTAAGAAATAGTAGGGGTGGTGCAAGACAATAGTTAAACAGTAAGGGTATAAATAGTCAATTAGCTAAATAGTAGAGATAGTTTAAGAAATTTGCCCATATTCATTTTAATTGCATACAACACATTAATTATATTTGCATTATATATATTATTAGTTATATTTGCATTAAACTGTAACTATTAGTAAAGATATATTGAAATTGAGATATTCAATGATATTTTATTAAGCTAAAGAATCTACTTCAATTCAAAATTATAATCCATTTATATTCTATTTGGAAATAATAAAAATAATTTAGTAGGTTACTTAAATAAAATAAAAATAATTATTAATTACTTTTATTTGCATTTTATATAAAACTAAAAATAATTATTTTTATTTGCATTATTAATTGATGTCACACGATCTAGCTCCTCTTATGTGTTAGATGACTCAGACTCTGATTCAGATGGTTCCTTGTCGGGCCAAGTTGTGTTAGGCCGAGCTGAAGATGGTCGAGATAGTTTTTGTTTTGCAAGAGGAAGTGTTAGAGTGCTCGGATGTCTTTATCCAGAGTGGGCACTCCGATGCTTAAGTTAGAGATTGTTTTGAGAGTACTTCAAAGAGTGGGAGAGTTTGAGAGCTTGTAGTTGCGGGTACCTTTACCGGTAGAAGTAAGTGCCTTATATGGGCGTCAATTGTCTAGGTCCCCTTACAACAGGTTTCATCTTCTCGCGGAGCCATTTCCACTCGGTTCGGTGAGTTATTGCGTCAGTTACGTGTTTTGCATAGGGGTTGCGATCTGTTCAAGTAACTCTGACGCTTGAGGTGCGGATGGCCAGTCTAGAAGTCGAGTCATTAATGCTCTAGAGATCTTAGGCTGGTAACGTTTCTTTGAGACAAGTCGGTGAGCTCGCTCATGGGTCACCATAGACTCCTACAGCTCGACCGGTCTCTCAGGCAGGTCGTTGTGAGTTAGGAAACCTGTCAGTTCAACCCGACCGAGGTGGAGGTCGGCTTGGACGAGGTGCTTGAGACTAACTTGCTGGTCTGGTTTGTCTAGTCAGCGTCAAGGTGTCACTTGAAGGCCATGTGTCGCGATTTGATTCGGAGGACCAAATTACCCCTCGTAATTAATAAAAATAATTATTAATTAGTTATATTTGCATTAAACTGTAATTATTAGAAAAGATTAATCATATTGAAATTGAGATATTCAATGATATATTGTTATGCTAAATTATCTACTTCCATTCAAAATTATAATCCATTTATATTCCAATTGAAAATAATAAAAATTAATCAACCATTACAAAAATAATTTAGTAGGTTTCTTAAATAAAATAAAAATAATTATTAATTATTGTTATTGATAAAAATATTTTTAAGATAAATAAAAAATAATATCAATTTAAAATTAATATAAAATAATACAAAATTATCAAACAATTATTACTTCTATAATTAAATTTTATTAATTTAAAACCAAGTTAAGTTCCACTAAAAATAAAAATTTATATAAATTCATAAAAATGTAATATACTTAAATAAATTGAATTTTTACTAATTTTAAAAACCAATAAAAATATTAATTTTAAATATAGTTTAGTTATTTTAAAATCAATTTAAATTCCATTTAAAAATAAGAAAAATTATAAAAACTTCTTTGTGTTTTCTAACAATCCTATGAAGCTCCTAGTGTTTTGACCTTAACAAAACCTCCCCTGTTTTGAAAAAAGATGCAAATGCCTTTCTTTCGTTGGCATTCCAAATAAAAAATATTGATGTAATGCATTAATTCTATTTCACTTCAACCTGTTTACCTTATTTTGTCAAAGAAGAGTAAGGAGGATTATTCTTTGAAAGATATCTGAAAAAATAAATTAGTAAAGGGCAAGGTTGAAACTTTAAATTATGTATGATAATGCATTAACAGTGATAAGACTTCAATGCCTTTGTTATCGAAAAGCCCAGGGGAAGGAGGTATTTGCACTTTTTTCTCAAAACTATAGGAGATGCCTTTGTCTTAAGTGGATGCTTTTTTATAATTTTACCTAGAAATAATAAAAATAATAATAAATCAATAAAAATTAATAAAAGAAGTTCTTTTTCAAATTTATCTAGAGAATAGGAAATTGGCCACTCTCACTAAAGTGCAACTTAAATTGTAACTGGATAAACTAGACATAACCCCAAAAAATAATACTTGAATTGAAATTAGATGGACACCACTTAATTGGAAATGTCATAGATTTCCATCTTCAATTTTGTTTATAAATAAAGCCCGTGCATCGCATAGGTCCTAACTATAACCTCCTAAATCCTAATTCAAAGGGGTGTCAAGTGATCATCTTGATTATAGGTTCATCTCCATTAACCAACTCATTCACAACAAAAGATGGTGAAAAGTTAACCCAAGTTGTTGCAGTAGATAAAAGATAATGACTGCATTTTGAACCAATTTATGGGTCACTTTGTTGGCAATCCCTAATGACAGTGTTAAGTACTTTGCCATAGTTTTCCTTCTCTCACTAAGTTTTTGATAAACCAAACAGAGCATTAAGCACAAAATATGGAATAGGATCCTTATTATTAAGTTTAAGGCGATTCAGTATGCCAAAGAGGAGAGGATAGTTTTCTCCTTTAAACGACAATCCCTTTCTACAACAATCTTTAGCAATTAGAACCCAATTTTACCGATTAAAGTTTGTAACTTCGAAGCTTAGGTCATGTTTGGTTCACTACTTTAGGCTTCATTCTTTTAATTCTTGCTCATTT